TTTTAAATTAAGTTTTGTAATTCTTAAGTTAATTATTTTTCTCTTTTGGAATGTTGACTATCCAACATAGCTAAGGTAATTTTGATTTGATAGATTAAAATACTTTATACATCAGAAATTTTCAGATTCACATGCAAAATTTTATAACCTCCACATAATTATCAAACGTTTTTTAAGAAAAACTTTATATTTTATCTGTTATTTTCATTATAAAATCTCCATACAGTTCAGTCAATTTGACTGACCTCATAATCACCAGAAAAAATTAGGAAATAGAATGTCTAAAAATTATAACACGAAAATACAAATGTTTAGTCTAAATAGCTTAAATCTCATAACATTATATACATTATATTTATTATTTTTACTATATTGTTAGCCATGCCTGGCTAACATTACAGAAGTTGCAATGACATGGCGTATGTACACTCATGTTACCGTATCCAAGAATATAAAACTGGCGTTTACAAAGTAAACTGTCTTGGCTGTGTTTTAGCAGACTAGTATTTTGTAAAATACAGTCACATTTCAATTATAATACATTATTACTATTTACAAATAAGTTCTTAAACTTATTTTTCTTAAAACACAGAACAGTAAATAAAGAAGTATAACAAACAATTATCTCTTCTAGTTATGAACTTTGTACTTGCTTGCTGCTTGCTAAGTCTTATCAAATTTGCACATGGAGGATATGAAACGAAATAATTTTTTTTAGGTTTTATATATACATTTTGAAATAACTAAAAATTTTAAATTACTATATCATTACTCTAGAATTCCACTATAATTTATCAAGCTTAGTAACTAAGCTGCATTTGGGTCTAAGAAAATATGAAATTTCGAGCTTACTAAAGTCTTACCTTATCACTTGGAATCTAGCATAAAAAGAAAGAGTTTGTCTCACGAATATTTCAAAAAAGCTGAGAAACCCATTAGGGGGACATTCTGAGCTTTTGATTGGTTATTCATATGTCATAGACAGAAGTAGGTGTAACGTAAGAGTTTCTAAAAATGGAAAGAGGTGGCCACTGTGTTTGAGTCAGTGAATGTAGCGATATCTCAGCAAATAGAAAAGAAAGGAGGTTCTTATTTTATATTCTATCTTTTCGGTTATCGGTAATTTGAGTTCCTAATTCGTAAGAAACTAAAGACTGTATTTGGACATCACAAACATCTAATTTGAACCAATGCTGCATTCAACATACCATGTGACACACAAAAATCGACAAATTTGATACAAAATTTATTGACATAAATTCATAAAATAGTAGTTGAATAAAATTTTTAATGCGAGTCAACAAACATGATGACATTGCCTTTGACCCATGTCGATAGGGATAATTATTCAGTAAAATTGGGCATTTTTGGTGCTGAACAAATAATACATAGGAAATGTAAGTATTTGGTCCATTTTAGATGTAAATTTTAACAGTTATATATATAAAAAGAAAACTAGTTGTATCACTCTTAGTGATAATGTTAGGCATGGATACATCAAGCTAATGTTACTGTTAGATTTTTTAAAGCTACATTATTGTATCTGGTTAAGTAGATGTAACAGCATTCTTGCATTTGAGTAGATAAGGTTTTGTAAGTGTATGAGCACGTTTAATAAAAGTAAAGGAGTTTATTTTTCATTGGTTATATATCAAATGTAAGTAATGTTATTTAAAATACCTAAAATGTTTTTTTGCTATTGCACATATACATATTCTTTTATTTATTTTTTTATCTTTAGGGCCTTGGAAGATGAAAAGAAGGCCAGGATGGGTGTAGTAGAATGTGTTAATCATAAACTAATAGAACCATTCACAGTTTTATATGAAAAGGAAGGTTTGTTGACTGTTGTATACTACTTTTTTTTTAATTCATTGATTCCAGAAATTTGGTAGGATCATATTTGTTCTATAAGATACTTAAGAATAAAAAAAATCATTAATAGGAAAATTATAAGTTGTGTGTGTTAATTATCTGAACAAAAATGCTGTACTTGTATGAAAACTTTGAGAAAAAGAATTTTTGGAATTACATAAGTTGGCCATGATTTTGAAACCTTAAAGCAGTTTATGCCACTATAAATTCACACTTTCTCTCTCTCTCTAATGGGCTTATGTGTTTTAAGCTGTTGGTTCAGTTGATCAGTCATTTAATAATTTTACTGGTACGTGCCTAAACTCACTGGTCTGCTTGATTTATGCAATACCATAATACTAGGCAAACAACCAAAATGGACAGGAAACTAAAGTGTACAGACAGAAGTTTTTTAGCAGTTGACATGTTATTGCACAAAGATGTACATCTTGTTATAAAGTTTGTCTTTGAAAATAAACAGTATTTGACATTACTTTTTACTGCAGCAGCAGTGTTTATTAGTGTGTTCAACAGTTAGTTTTGCTTTTATTTTCCTCAAAAGATATGGGAGAAAACTTCCTGTACAAGTTAAAGCACATATGATCCTGTTTTTTTCCTTCAAATATATCATGGCTAAACATCTATGTGCAGCTGAATAAGTAAAACAATGAATATTGAAGGATTTATCACAAAATTTCTGTGAAAGTATGTTATCCTACTGAAGATATGTGGTAGTCAATTGATACAACATATAAAAATTTAATCATTGAAATACCTGGGAATCCTCTGGGTTGTATTATAGGAATATTCAAGGCAACTACACTTCTGCAGGGGTATGACAAAAGAAGTTTATAATATATCTTACAGCACACATAGAAACAGATGTCATATCATAGGCCCATATAGTGCAATACAGTGAAAGAACTAATGATATTGGATGAAGTAATTAATGAATTTAGTGATTTTTTACAATTACTGTTGTTCAAAGCTTTTCCCAAGTTCATTTATTACTTCACTAATAGATGACACCATACAAAGGATGTTATAATAGCATTATTACATTGTGACCCACTGAATATGGAACTTTTATTTTTTACTATAGTCTATTCTACAGTTTTAGAACGTAATTAAAATTAATCCAGCAAACATTACAGCTTAAGACAACTTGAATATCTTTGGTAGATTCTCCTTGAAAAATGAAAACTTAAATGCCTGTACTAAAAGATGCTGATACAATAAACAATATTCATGATAATTATGCTTATTTCTGGAAAACAAAATATAATTTTCAGATGAATGAAAAACTTTTGTCCCATAAACTGCTGAGATAGAAATTACTCTTGATCCAAAACTTTGGAAGAAAAGAAAGCTTTTTTTAAACTACTTACAAGTTAATATCAAGCGGGTATCATATTTATGCAAAATTTTATGTTGCACCAATGGTTACATTACAAAATGTCAATTCATAAAAGGAATTTTTATTCAACAATTTCAGATTTTATTGTGTCATCTATGCTGCTTACAGTATTTTGCACTATATATATTTTTAATATCTTGGGTAATATATTCATACAACATTAATTTTCTAAACATTTGATAATTCATTCACATTAAATTTGTTTCTATTTTTTTTCTCTCTTTCATTACCTGCTGACTTCTGATGCATAGTTTTTTTTTACTTCTCATCTTGGACCCCTTTGTACAAGTACAGAAAAGTTTACACTTGTAAGCCAGACATTTATTAATAAAACCATGAAATGCTGGAGCTTCAAAGCAACTTGCCAGATTTGCATTTCTCCACACATTCAGTAACTATCTTTTCCACTTGTACTGGGAGACATAACATGAAATCACCGTTTCCTCCCTAACAATTTTGATAAATGGTCCATAAAAACAAAGTAAAGAAGAGTTTTAATCAGACGTATATAACTACTAGCAGTATCTCAACAGTCCTTTGTAAATCAATGATAAAGTTTTTGTTGGTATTCATTGTCAAATTCCATGTTCAATACTGACACTTTATGAAGGATGCAGGCAGTTACGTGAATGCACACTTGGGAACAGCATGCAGTTAATGTGAGATATAAGTGAAGAAGTATCTTTAGCAGATTTGCTTAAACTTTTACTGGTCCTTTCACTACTTTATATGTGCGTGTGCATAAAGATTGCCTTCTATTATTGTATGTGTTAAAATTGTTGTTATTTATAAAACTTGCTCTACATTTCTTCTTACAGGAGAACTGGTGGCCCAGTTTAAATTTACTGTATTACTCATGCCTTCTGGTTCACACAAAATAACCGGTGAAGCAGTGGATTGGGACATGTATGAAACAGAACATGACATTAAAGATGATACCATCAAGGTAAATTCTTTTCTGCCAGTTATATATAATTGTGGGAGAAGTTTCATATGATAAAAAACAAGTCTTTTTCTGACAAACAGTTTTTTAAGTTTCTGTACTGCTGCAAGATTTGTTTTGTGTTAAAGAAAAGAATAAGTCAGTTTGACTATGTATTCTGTAATGAATTTCAAAACATTAAGGACGTTTTCTTGTATTGTTAACAATAATACTTGGAAATGAGTCGCACATATATTATAAAATCCTACTAGTAAGCTAGCAGTAGTAAGCTTGCAATTAGGTTAACTGAAAAAAAAATTCTGGTGTAAATAGCTTTTGAAGAGTGGAATACAGTTTAATTTTCTTATCTGAAAGTATATATATATATATATATTAGTAATACGTTGTTTTTTCCTTAATAGTTTACCAAAACTACCACATTCGTGTGCTTTGCTACAGTAAACTGAAAATGTATTTCAGCATAGACCGCATTTGAACACTTCTAAACTATGAAAAAGTGGCTTTATTGTTAGCAAATTTCCTTCAATTTAATAATTAAACTTGTAAATATTGTATGGATTATTTTATTAGTGTTTTGTGCAACACTGTTGTTGATGTGTAATAGTTTTATATTGGCTGTCGTCGTTAAGCTACTCGATCATTTGTTTGTAATGAGTTTTTACAGCAATGGATATTTAAAATTTTTTTTTAAAGATTGAATTTGGTATTCGGGCTTTTAAAACTTAAGTCATTTTTTACTATATAAATTCTACAACATTTTAAAGTATGTGTGGTGTTAAAATAATCTTTGTTAAAACAAATGGCAAAATTCTTATCTGACATAACATCCTATTTATAGGCATTACTTAGCAAGTCTGTGGCACCTAAATCAGGAAAAAAGAAGAAAAAGAAAGCAGAAAAGGCAGTAGCAGAATCAGTGGAAGGCTTAGAAAAAGGAGATCCTAACATCAATACGAAAGGTGAAGACTGAGAGTGTTTAAAGGTAAAAAATAAAAACTTGAATTTAATGAAGGTTATTAAAAACTAATAAATTTAACTTATTTGATACTTAGCATTGATAAATGACATCTTTCATCTTTAACAAACTAATGATTTAATGAGAAATATCTGATCCAAAAAGCTTCAGTAAGTGACTGGTAAATTCAGTCCTTTTTCTTTTCTTAAAATAGTTTGCCTTTTTAACACAATCTCAGTAGTCTTATTCTTTGTGTACATATTTCCCTGTTATCTAAAGTACCTTAGAATCATGCTACCATCTTATACCCTTTTTTTATCATGCTACCATCTTATACCCTTTTTTTATCATGCTACCATCTTAGACTTTTTTTTATCATCCTACCATCTTAGACTTTTTTATCATGCTACCATCTTAGACTTTTTTATCATGCTACCATCTTAGACTTTTTTATCATGCTACCATCTTAGACTTCTTTTATCATGCTACCATCTTAGACTTTTTTTTATCATGCTACCATCTTAGACTTTTTTAATCATGCTACCATCTTAGACTTTTTTTATCATGCTACCATCCTAGACTTTTTTCTATTATGCTAACATCTTAGACCCCATCCCATAGATAATGTAGTATTTACAATTTGTATACTCTCATGAATTTTTTTTATCATCTGTTCATGGGCTTTGTAAATATTTGTTAGATATTTAAAATATCAATTCTTTATAATTACTTGCATCAGTTATTCACTGAATGTTTCTTTATTACTATAGGATAAAAAGGGCGAATTTCAATGAAGACTTACTAAACCAGCCGAGGAAGCAAGGATAGCCGGCCCATCATGATTGGTCATCTCATGCAGAAAAAAAAAGTGTACAGTACCTGATCTTATCCTGGCTGTGACGTGAAATAATGTTGCCTTTGTTCTTTGTATTTTTATATTGACTTTCTCAAATTAATGTTTAGAAAATTGATCTTGGTTAATATCATCACAATTGACACAGTATGAGAATTTTTTACTTCATCTTATTATTGTTTTTTATTATTATTATACCTCTTTCTGCATTTTTTCTTATTTAAAGTAGGACATTTAAAAAGGTGTCAAGGTTTGAGAAACATTTAGTGAAAGGAAGTTCTTTCAGTCTTTTGGTTATGGGAAAAAAAAGAAACAGGTTCTATTCCTGTTTAGTAGTATTTATTTGAAGCCTAAGCTATGAAGGTACAGTTGTAATTGTTTAGAAGTCTAACTTTGCACATGTCCATTTTGTTTTGTAAATAATGTGAACATTCAGTGGCGATAATATTTTTTTTGCATGTAATTTATAACATTTTCTGAAAATGTGTTACGGTAATGCTAATCTGTGAAAATTTATTTTATCAGTAAAAATGACTAATTGTGTAGTTTAAAATATACTTTTCAGTTAACATTACATAAATTTTCAGGAGTACTTGTAAGCTTTTCATTGTTTTTGAAGTCTTTTAAAACATTGGCTTTTTTTTTACAGTTCAGTGTAAGATAATGATTTAAAGTTATATTAATTATCTTTTGGAAACCCTTATGAAGTGTTTTTTATACATGATGTAATTGGCTGAGGCTGTGGGTCCATGCTTGTCTTTAATAAATAAAACGCCCTTTTGGAAAAATTGAATGTCACTGTAAGTTACTTCAAAGATGACATGCACTGAAATTATGTTAGACCATCGATTTTTCTTTTTATTGTTACCTTGCTATCAGCTTTGGTAACTTTACAAAGAAAAAGTTTTTACTGAATCATTTACATTACTGAAATTACCAGGAGTAATGTGCAGTGATATAGTTAAAGAATAATGCAAATATTCAAGGATATTTTGTTGTTTTTTGTCCCTACACTTTAAAGTCAAATTATTTTTAAGATTTTATTGATAACATGGACAGGTCAAGACTACATTCATTTTAAGCTTAAAACTCTGGATAGGAAAAAAGCCCAAAACAATGAAGTAGTTCAGTTTTGAAGCATCATTCAATAACAGAATAAAAGTTAAAAGCTTTTTGTACAGATTTTGAATTTTTATGAAAGAATATAAATATGTGAACTGACTCCTTTTTACTAAACCAATTAACATACTGGCATTTGTAACTTGCACTACAAGGTGTCCTAATAAAAACTAGACCAAAATATAGTTCTGTAATACTTTTTTTTAATATATTCTGTCGCACCTTATATTTTAATTGTTCATAGTACATTTGACCTGTCCATGTGTATAACTTCAAAAGCAATATTCTGCCAAAAAACGATCTGTGACATTCTGATGTACATCAATTTTCATAATATCTAAAGAATAAGAAAAAAGTAAGCAGAAAGGCAATAGCAGTGGAAGACTTAGAAATAGGAGATACTAACATCACCACTAAGGGTGAAGACAGACATTTTCTAATGTAAAGAATAAAAATAAAGAAACTTAAATATAATGAAGGTTAACATAAAAGAAATAATTTTACTATATTAGATATTGAATCCCTTCACTCAATACTTCAAAAATCTTTTTAATATTAACACATTCAACGTATGACGATTTTTGTTTCTTCAGGTTGTGCCTCTCAGTGGCTCAGCAGTAAGCTGAGGGTTTTTAAAACTAAACGTTTTGGTTTTGTCCCTATAATAGGCACATTATGCATATTTGCACTTAAAATTTATGTTATTGTTTTTATCCTTTTGTAGTCCTTTTAGTTAAAGTAGGAAATTTCACAGGCTGTCAAGGTTTGGGAAACAGTTAGTGAAAAGTTTAATCCATGTGTCGCATTCTGGTTAAAAATACCAAATGCCCAAGTTCCTACAGTCATGTGGTTTACAACCTCCAGTCTTCTTATATCTGAACACACAGAGACAAGGTTTTCCTTATATTATATGTCAAGATCATTGCAAACACAAGGCTGAGCATTTTGAAGAGTAAACAAAGCAGATTATCTTCATTCATTCTACCCCCAACTACAGTCAGTACTTAAGTCATCAGGTGGTTAAATATAGAGATCCACAAACAAATATAACTTATCAAACCTCACTACTTTTAAAGGTAAGGCTTAATAGTGCATTATATCTTTTAAAAGAAAAATAAGTGGGATAACTACAGCCATATGAGCAATAATAGAAGCTTTTTAGGCCTATATTATAGTTAACAACCAACTCTGTACTTTACATCTTGCTGTATATGATCAAACCTATTCCAAATAACTTTGAGCTGCTCATTTTTTATTATATTCTGATGTTTATGTTTCAGAATACATTTACAATACCTAAGACTTAAAACAGGGTAAAATACAAATATAGGAAAAGGTTACTGCTTATGTAGATGAGGGTAAGGGTGTAGTTTTGGTGTATCTGGATTTTCAGAAAGCATTTGACAATATGCCAGGTAAACGGCTTGTAAAAAATATCTCTATAGGTGTGGGAGATAAGTTAGCTAATTGGACAGAAGAGTGGCTGGATGGAAGAAAGCAGAGGGTTGTTATAAATGGAGTTCAGACACAAGAGGGGGTACCTCAGGGCTCAGTCTCAGGACCTTTGTTCTTTTTGATTTACATCAATGACATAGAAGAAGGAATGGTAAATAAATTACTTAAATTTGCTGATGATATTAAGGTATTTGGTGTTGCTAGCTGTGAAGAGGATGCTACTGCTTAACGAAAGTATTTAGTGAGTTGGGCAAATAAATGACAGATGAGTTTTAATTACAGAAAATACAAGATAATGCATGTGGGTTATCATGATTTGAATTATAAGTATAATTTGGATGGGAATAACCTTAACAGGGATCTTGGTGTAATGGTTGATCAATCTCTTAAGCCATTCAAGTAGTGTTCTATTGTTAGTGTTAGGACAAATATAATTTTATATATTTACAGAAGGTAAGGAGCTCAAGACTGAACACAATACTCCAAATGTGGCCTAACCAGCGACCTATGCAAATGAAATTATAACCTCTGTAGACTTGTATTCAAAACATGATATTGACTGTCCAATAAAATTCTAAACTTTGTTAAATGACTTTGCAAAGCATCTTTTAACAGACTTTACAAAACTTTTCCCACAAGTGGTTTAAGACTAATAGGCCTATAATTACTGGTTAATAATAATAGTGTAAATGGTAATTATTGGCTTCAATGCTCTTTTACCATAAAGTTACAAAAATTTTCAAATAACTTAACCCAAAGTGATTTGAAGGCATACAGATAGATATTTAACATTTTAAGCACCTTCACCATACCTTGTCAAAAGCCACGTGCTGGTTTGCTTTCTCATCAAAATAAAGCCGCCGAACCGGGTCTCTGTATGTTACGTTTTGAAAATCTTTGTCGATTTTGCAAATAAATGACCTTGTGAACTAGTGTAATAACTGTAATTGACTCATTGCAGCTTGTAAGTAACCCAACAGGTCAGAGGAAAGCATGCTTTTTTAAATTTTATTTTAATATCGCCTTTCAATAAAACGAACGACAAATTACTGATACCGTGAAGAACATTTACGACAAAAATTGAATAAAACTGTTTTTGTAGTAGAAAAACAAAAAATGAGATTTATTTGGTTTTAAATTCGATAATTTTCTAACTCATGAATACTGAAACTGACTTTGCTACATTAAACACTTATATGGATATATAAAATAAACATCAACATAATTAACTATATAAACCATTTACGTGTCATATGTCTAAATCATTTTGGGTATATGTATTATTTGAATCTAATAACCTTTCCTGCCTTCAAAAGTGACTTACTGGAATCTGTACCTAAACAATGCGAGACTGACCTCGGAGAAATGAAAACCTGGCTTGGAGTGTTACACTTTCGTAAACATACCGCTGGCCCACCAAGGGACTTTCAAAAATCTTTGGCAAAAAGCTGTATGTGCACTATGGTACAGAGGACAGATGAACATTAATATGGTCCCATTGTACGTGAGATAATCTGGTACGTTCAGAAATAATGATATATATATATATATATATTGATTAATTTGTACTAGTTTCTTTGATCTAAAGAATAAACTATTATTTATTTTTACCAGTTATAGGTAAAACGGAACTAATGTGACAAAATGAAAGTTTACCTAATTTAGCCATAACTTATTAAGCAGAAGGTAGGCCCTGTGTTACACGTCATATTTACCTCAAATGACAGTATTCAGTTTCATTTGATGTTATTGTATGATACAACTTTTATTGTCGCCAGAGCAGTGTGTCTGCGGACTTACAACGCTAGAATCCTGGTTTCGATACCCGTGGTGGGCAGAGCACAGATAGCCCACTACATAATTTTGTGTTTAACTACAAACAAACTGACAATTTTTTTTATTTAACCACTTTTGATAACACATTCTGAATTAAAGTATAACGGAAACTTTTCCACAAATTTAAAAGTTAAAAAAATGGATGGTTACACTTTATTAGGTATCAGAATATGAAATTACGTTTTAATACCCGTACTTACAATCAAGCAAGCATTTCTACCCAAATAGCATTTTATACAACACATGGGTTAAACCGACAGGACAGACCCAAATAGTTCAGGCATAGTCGTCCTTATTTTGAACTGCTGACCAAAAGCAAGGCAATCAGTTAGCATACCTGCCACCTACACGTTTCTCTTAACCGATCAACTATCACGATTATGTCTCCATAGCCGAAAGTTTGGATCATATTTAGCGGTTTTTCATAGCTCACAACTGTGCCTTCTGTTTAGCCACCCAGCGCGCTAACTACCAGACCAGTTAGGGCACTGTTGCTGTGATTAAGTTTCAGTTTAATACGCTGATATGTACAAAAGCGATTACCTAGTCGTAAAAAAAACCTTGCATTATTTTCAAATGTTGATATCAATTGCAAAATTAAGTGAATGTCGGAAAGAATTGGTCGAATGAAAAAACGTACAACAAGCCCTTTGCTGTCAAAACTAGTTTATGACTAATTATTTCATCCTGTAGCTCAACCAAAAAAGAAAGAAAATATGCTAATATGATAACTTTGTATTTTGAGCATGTAAATGTCGAACAAATATCTAACCAAATACAACTCCAGCGCCTCGACAATATTATGGGTAAACAACCTTACCTGGCCATTGGCCGTAGTTGTGAAAAATAATGTAGCAATGAACTATTTAAAATAAATGTTTATCTAAAATTTAGAAATTTCAAAGATTTAAACTAAGTAGGAAGATGAAATATTTTGCGATATACAGGGTATTCTCACGTACAATGGGACCATATTAATGTTCATCTGTCCTCTGTACCATAGTGCACATACAGCTTTTTGCCAAAGATTTTAAAAGTCCCTTGGTGGGCCAGCGGTATGTTTACGAAAGTGTAACACTCAAAGCCAGGTTTCATTTCTCCGAGGTCAATATAGCACATTGTGTAGCTTTGCACTACGAAATGAAGAAAATCTTGTGAAAGTATCTTTCGCCATATTTTACAATGCGAGATATTTCAAAATATATACAGCTTCAAAGGTATAACTGTTTTAGTGATGGCTCTGTGAGATAACATTTAAAAAACAACTGAGTAACATACTTTACACACCATGTAATTATAAATTCATGTTCTTTAGCAAAATATTTAAAGACACAAGTTTTTTGTTTGGTTTTCCAGTAAGTATTTATGTAAGATTTCT